AATGGCGGCTCACAACAAAGAACAAAAAGCCTCGGATGAGACCCCTTTATCTTGATGACGACCACGGCAAACGTTTAAATACTATGATTTGAGGGTATGCATCTGGAATATCTGAATCCTTAACAGAAAAGGTGCCTCTGGCCGACTAGATTCTTCAACGTCTCGCTCATCTGTGCCCATGCCCCGATGGAAGAGATGGACGAGGCGTCCAAGGATCTCTTCTATGAGCGTCAGGAGTGTACATATGCGCGCTGCCCCTGAAACGGTGGGCAAGGAAGGGATCTTTGGCGCCACTGTCGCACAATTCAGTCTCCACGACGAAACGTCCGAGAACAGACTGAGGCTGATCGCTTCGCCGGGGCCCGAAACATGGTAATATGTAAAACTAGGTTCCAGCATGAAAACATCCATCAAGCTATATGGGTCTCTCCCGATCGAAAAATGACGAAAAATGATAGACGGAAGACATTCTTCCAGTATTTTAGACGTACGTACACTCCGACTGGCCAGGCTTAAAAACTACAAAGCTGCCAGCTGAGCTATTCAAGTACGGCGGCGAGTAGCTGATAAGGTGCATGCATCAACTTTAATGCAGAATATGGTCAGATGAACGCATGCCCGACGACTGGAATTTAAGTGTGCTCTTCCCAATCCACAAGACAGGCGACCGCGCGATACGCGCTAACTACTGCGGGATCAGCCTTCTAAGCATAGGTTACAAGGTCTGATCGAGTGTATTGTGTGAAAAACTGAAGCCCACCGTCCACGAACTGTTTGGACCTTATCAGCCTGGCTTAAGACCTGGAAAATCCACCATAGATCAGGTATCCACAATATGCCTTATCTTTAAAAAAAAACTGGCGAGAATAGGATCGACACACACCATATATTTGTCGATTTCAAAGGAGCTTTCGACGGCACGAAAAGAAGTTGCCGCGATGTCTTAATTTCATATCCCAGCGAAACTAATTCGGCTGTGTAAAATGACGTTGAGCAATACCACCAGATCCGTCAGAATTGGGAAAGACTTCTCCGAGCCGTTTGATATCAAAGGAGGTTTCCTTTAGTGTGATTTCTTTAATCTAATGTTGAAGAAGATACAAGAGCTGTCCATTAATGGCAACGGAGAATCAATTTTGCGAACAAATGCTACTTTGGACTGAGTAGGCAGTTGAGAAGTAAAGTCCTCTCTCGTCGTAAAAAATCACACTATAAGTCACTCATCATGCCTGTGCTGGTGTATGGCGCGAAGACAAGGACAATGAAAATATCTGATGAAGCGGCTCTTGGAGTTTTCGAGAGAAAGATTCTGCGAAAGATTTCCAAGCCTTTACGCGTCGGCTATGGCGAATACCTCAAACGATTTAACGACGAGCTGTATGAGCTTTACAACGAAACGGACGTAGTGCAGCTTATGAAAAGACAGCGGCTCCGCTGGCTTAGCCATGTCATTCGATTGACAACAACGCTCCATCTCTGCTAGTATTCAACTCGGAACCAGCTCGTGGAAAGACCAGATGGAGAAGAACTAGGCTTCACTTGGCATTTCCAATTGGCGTTAGTTGGCATAAAAGAGACACGACTGGTGCGCGCCAAATAAGAAGCAGATGATAAATAAATCCGTAAATACGAGTAACAAATTATGTCATTCAACTTCTAAGTCTAAAGTCCAAAACTAGTTTCCAAATGCTTAGCAATCTAGCACATATTTTGTTGCCTTTCCAACAACAAAATGCGTGCTAGATTGCTACGTAGCAACTTTACACCTAAAATGCTACTCAACGTGAACTCCCTTAATACGTATTAAATACAAAGAAAACTTATCCGCCTTTTTGACGGAACGTGACGCATTTGATAGATTTATGTCAGTGTATACGAGTATGCAAATTTAAGTATGCACATATTTTAAACAATTTTATTACTGGTTAGACACTGCCGCCATTGGGCCCATTACTTCCTTCCGCCCACAGCAATAACTAAGCGCCATTGCGCCAGCCGGGTGGTGGATTTCCAAAACAGATCTACATTCTACAAGTATGTGCATATATGTACGTGCATAGATATATATGTATGTACATATATATGGTTGTGTGTACATTCATGATCATTTTAGAGACATTTTAATTTTTACGAGTATGCACATTGTATTATTTACCAGTTCATGACGCACTCCACTTATGGACTGTGCGTACACACAACATTTTTTTTATTTTTAGTTTTGCTTGATAATTAAATTCATTTTAACGATTCATTCACCTGATGGTTGCGGTTGTGTGACGACATTTATTGAATTTTAAAATGCAATTAAAGTTGCCCATTTTCCAAAACCAGACGTTATAAACAATTAGAAACATACGTATGCCTGTATATACATTAGGGTGGTCCAAAAACAGTAAAGTCGGAATTGTAATGCTCTCACCCTCTAGGATTGTTCTATATCGAAAAAAGTATGCCCCTATTTTTTATTTTTAAATCAAAAAGTATTTAGAGGTCGCTCAAAGCGCTCAAAGTTTTCCATGTATTTTTATATGGGAAAAGTAAATTTTTTCGTAGGAACGGTATAAAATTCTTGAAAATCAATATTTTTCGATCGGAAAACTCATATGAGTGTCTAGACACCAGAATATTGAGGTTAATTGCATGCTTGATGAAATGATTTCCCCCCAACTCTCCTGAAAATAACACGATAGGTATACCAATGGCCAACATCAAACAGTTTGTTAGATATCTTATGAATTTAAATAGTAGCCAGTGAACGGCGGAACCACTTTTCGTCCTGTGAAACCATCAATTTTATCAGGCCTTCCCATAACAGGAAACATACATCGCTGATGTTAAGTTTAAATAGGAAAGAAATGTTCTTCCTTCTAAAAATTTTTCTGGTTTAGTTCCTTAAATTTTAAAATACATTCAGTCTTCAATTCATGGCCGAGAAAAAAAAATTGTAATAGGAATATCGTACTCCGTATGAGAGTTTTTCGAGTTACCGTACTTTCTTGACCGAAATTCTTTATTTGGGTTTAATTTAAGTATAAAATGTCTTGGTTTTTTCGTGAGTGTATGTGTGCGAAGCTCTACTCTCCAACCATTCCGAACCCTATACCACGTCCTATAAACGGCCAAAAATCAAATTTTGTTCATAACCATTTTTAATTTTTTTTAATTTTAGCCCCGATTTCAAATTGTGATACATACAAGATTCGAAAGTCCTTTTTTAAGTACTAGTACTACGACGATGTAAATCTAAATTATTTCCTTCGACCAGTAGACATAATTTCCGCTCGATTTAATTTAGTACTCTGCGGAATGAAGGTAACGAAGTAGCCAACAAACTGGCTAGGAAAGGCCGATGAGCGTTTTGGGACCGGAACCATTTTGCGGACTCAGTTGGCCCTCCTCGAGACTCATAAATGATTGGCATTTATTAGGGGGGGCTGTTGAGATCGTAGGCCGTCAGGTTATGAATCACTATTTTGAAGCCACATAATCTGACTTCTTCTTCTTTGTCTCTGTATGTTGGATTCTCTATCTCTCAATACAAATCCAACACCGAATTTGCGCTCCTTTACATGGCAGCTGTAGTAGACGTCGCAGAGCCCCATTAAGGATCCGGACATTCCAGGTGCATGCCCTCAAATCGTAGTCCTTTAAACATTTGCCGTGGTCGTCATCAAAAGCGTGGACTCATCCGAGGCTTTGCTGAATTTCTCCACTGGAAGGGATTTTTACGGGGCTGATGCCAAACCCAGCAACCAAATACACGTTTATATAGTGAGCCACTGGGTCCAAGACAGGCGCACTTGCAGCCGCACATACTGGTAAACAGACGCTGCTGACTTCAGTGAGCCCTTAAACCGAATATGCCGGGGTGGTCCCACCGAAACTCCCTGTCTTTCTGCCGTTGTGGTTGTATCACAAAATATGTGCACTCGCATAAGTTTTGAGCACTTAAACATATCCGCAAAATTACGAAATGTTCTAATTCTCCGCAAAATACTATAGCACTAAAAAAGACTGCTCCTGTCCTAGGATCGATGCCAATCACTCGAAATTTAAAAATGAATTCTGAAGATTGATCCTCGACAGATGATTGGGGCGCCGTCGAGTGTAATTCTGACATGAAAAAGCTTTACATAAAATCCACCTGCGGTTCGAAGGCTGCACAACGTACATACATACATATGTATATCCTTGTAGGAACAGCTCAGCCGACCACTTACGACAGCAAAATATGTGCGCACGGAGTGTTTGCATATATGTACCTATGTAGATATGTGCTTTTTCGCTACTTAAGACATATCGCTTTTGTTAAAATAGCGACAAATTTTACTTCCTAATTGTTTATATTTGTGTACATTTTTATGCTTCCTCGATGATAATTTAGTACCTGACACACTCGCATACATATGTGTGTATGCACCTACACTCATTTTTATATAACGGTGCTCTCAATGAGCTTGCATTAGGTTGTGACATATTCTGTCTGAAAACAAATTTTCCACAAAAGATTCAGAAGGTAACGAATGCAAAGATGTCTCGAATCTAGATTCGGAGTACAGTGTAAGAACTTTCACACAAGCCGGCCACCAGCTTCAAGTAGATTGACGGTGCCGGCCTGTAATTGCATGCTTTGATTTCGCCTTGAGAACTTGGTTAATTGGCTGCCCGAGGGCCGGCATATTTTTTGGTCAAATTTTTACGAACGTCGAATGAGCCCTTGTCCATTCACACTAGCTGGTAAAAGAACAAAATGTCTTAGGTGATCAAAAAGGAGCTAACGTAAGCCAAAAACGGTCAATTCTGCATACCTAACTCGATTTTATATTATTTTGGATTATGACACTATTGAAGTAAATAAGCAAGGAATATCCTTGCTATTCGCACTTTCTTTTTTAGAGTTTAAACTTATCACACACATACATATAATTTTACTTATTTACTTCCAGTTGCCGTCCAATTATAGTTTTAAACAGGATATTCATAATCGACTAATGATACTCATATACCCAATATACCGAAAAGCATGTCAACTGCTACGAAAAATAAACGGCCTCGCTTACTATATGGAGCCGAGTACAGCTCGTCGTCTTCAGTTGTTATCCGCTCCCTAAAACTCATCTTTACGAAGCATCGTCGAAGAAGATAAAAAAAAAACACGTCTAAACTTGCCTCCGACATAGAGGTGCCCCAAACCCGAGCTGTCTACGGAAAATGTCCTCACGACGTAGTTCATATCGCAAACGACAGAAACCGCCTTTCGAACGATTTAAAGATAAATGTCGACAATTTACGGCTTTTATGTTCAGCAATGTTGGCATCATATTACTAGTAATCTTCTATACAATTGGAGGTAATTGAAAATCGTTAATACGAGTATTCGCATTTGGATTTTATTTTATTTACTTTTTTTTTCTAAATAATTCATAAGCCCACTATGCCTTCATTCACAGGTGCCTTTATTTTTCAAGCTATTGAATTATTCGAATACGAAAGACTTAGCCCACATAAAACGATAAAACCCAATGCAACTGAAAAATGCGCGCAAAAGATTTGGGATATAACGGCACAGAACATAAGTTTCTATGGGAACGCATATTATAAGGAAAGGTAGGCTTTTGAGAATTTAGGAAAAAGTAGTTTTTAAATATAAATTCATAAATACAAGTATACATACATATACATATGTAAGTCTTAGATACTAAATATAAATATATTTCAATTATCTAGCACTAACTAAAATTAATATTGCAGAGTAAATGAAATTTTGCTGCAATTTCAACGAGAAATAGCGCATGAAAAGTTAATTGATCCCGACATTGACAAGCAATGGAGCTTTTCGGGTGCATTCCTTTACTCACTAACGGTTATTACAACTATAGGTGAGTGTTCTAAAGAGGTAAAGTAATATTTTAAATCAAAACGACATAATTCGAGTTTTTACTGTTCCATATGATTGCAAAGGCAAGTTTATTGTATGCTTCAAACAAAGTAAGGTGCATATTTAATTCGATTGTACAGGGTCTAGGACCACCTGTCCACCCCTCTAAAATGGAGGGAAATGTTTTTTATTGTAAGTCGCAAAAATCCTCTATCCGGCTTCGACCGGAATGGGGTTAAACGAAACGGAAGTCCATTTTTTGAAATTAGATATACATGTTTTCACCACAGATTCGGATTCTGTGGACGAAAATATCCAACTTTTGTTAGAATCTGTTTTCACCGAAGTGCCTTTTTCAAAACTTTTCAACGTAAGTCCAGAACCAGTTAAATTTCGAAGGTCATTTAGAGGTGGAAAAGGCACTTCCGAGAAAAAAGTTTCAAACAAAAGTTACGTGCTCTTATCCTCAGAATCCGAATCTGTAGTAAAAACATCCATGCGTAATTAAAAAAAAATACTTCCGGTCAGTTTAACCCACTTCCGGTCCAAATCGGAAAAGTTTCCGAAAAAGGTATGTGCTTTTATGGGCAAAAATCGAATCTGTGGTAAAAATATGTAAATCCCATTTAAATAAATGGACCTCCGACGAATAGATAGAGTATCCTCGACTTGGTAATTCAATTTTTTTCGATGTCCAATAAAAAGCAATTTCAATCATTTAAGAATTCCAGGACGAGTTAAAGTTCGACGGTCATTTAACGATTGAAAAAGCACTTCCGAGAAAAAAGTTTCGAGGATAAGTTTCGCATTTTTATGCTTAGAATCCGAATCTGTGGTAAAAACATGTATGTAAATATATTTAATTTGAAACAAATTGACTTCCAGTCAGTTTAACCCAATTTCGGTCGAAACCGGAAGTCGTTAATACCACCAAAAGATAGGTCAAATTTTTTCTGTTTTAACAAAAAAAACACATTTCCCACCATTTTAGAGGGTGTGGACAAGTGGTCTGAGACAAAGACGTGAGTGCCAAATACTTACGAAAGATGTAACATAATTTGTTTAGTCCACATGGTGGGTGTAAAGGCAGTTTTCGCGGCAGGAGTTCTGGGGTTTCTGGCAGTGAAGAAATTGAAAGGATCGCCGATATTCGCGCCAGCTATCGATTCTTGCAGGTTTACTGACCGGACATTGTCCGACTCAATATCGCCACAGGATCCTACTGCCGATGCTGTCTGGAGGATGAGGTGGAGTCATATCAGAACTTCCTCCTCAGCTGCCCGGCATTCGATAGATTAGGATTTAAGCAGCTCGGTGCGCATTTCATCAACACTCCCGAGGGGCTCTCCGGAGTGGACATCAGTTGCTGCGGAACTTTGTTGTGAGCAGCCAGTGCTTCTCTTAGTTTACACACAGTTACCGTACTAAGAATTTGTGTAATGTGGCATCACAATGGACAATTAAATAATGTCTAAGTTAATCCCCCTTGCAGGGCCTGCCACAATTTTTCGGCCCGTCGCAACTGTCTGAAGTTCACTAATTTGACTTCGGCCGGCAGCGAAAGTAGTTTCGCCATGCATAGGCTGAACAACGCCGAGGAGTAGGTCGCCCTAAAGAGCATAATGTTTAGTTCTACGCAGTTCGGGCATAGCATTTCCGATTCAGGCGGGGGAGATAGCTGTTTAGTCTGTGGCACCACCCGCAACGGAATTGCGCTAGGATGCACCTGGGCTATCTCGGCAGTTCCGCTTCGTCGATATTAACGGGCGGCGGTCGACCGCCTAGGACGATTTTGTCGTCTCGGGAGCTGAGACTCGTCCTGACTGCACCGGTGTGTAGGTGGTTAAGCGTTACTCTGTATTTTTCTGCGTCCAATGGGTGGTATATGCACGGCTAATGTCGTGTTTCCAGTCCCGCAGGTGCCGTCTTACATGCCGTGGGACTGATCGTTTCGAAATAAGGCATTATTGGGGTGATTTCTATGGTGGAATCCCACGAGAAACTACTTCATAGCAAGGTCTTATGCTCTCTAAAGAAAAGTTGTCGAACGTGACTTCCAAGACTTTGGGATGGTTGACCGTCGGTATTCTGTTGCCATCGACGTGTACGTAGGGCATGTTGCCATTTTCGTGTCATCATCGACGTAGCTCACCAAATTAACCCCAGTTTTGCCATGTAGAGGTTAAACAGTGTCGGAGGGAGTATGCCACCTTGGGGATCCCCTGTTTAATTCTACGGGCTTGGATTTGACGCTTTGGAATTTGACCGATGATTGACGTCCACACACATATATACCGCTTCGTCCGATCCAAAAGCGAGGAGTTTAGGACGTCTTGGCAAAGGGTCACGTACTTTACCGTGCCGAATGCCTTCGACAGGTCAACCGCGACTAGGACCGCCCCCCCGTCACAGGCTCGCCATTGGTTCAGACCTACGCTTATCTGTGTTGTGATGGCGTTTAATGATATGGTCGTGCTATGAATTTTTCGGAATCCATGTTGGTGTTCGCCTAGTTTCAGATGCTCCGTCAGGCTGAGGAGGAGTAGTGCTTCCACTGTCTTTCCCGCTGGGGATAGGAGGCAGATTGGCCGGTAAGAGTCTCCTGCGTCCGCCTTCTTCCCTGGCTTAAGGAGGCGAATGATCCTACCCAATTTCTACATATCGGGGATGATCAGAGTAGACAGTGACAAGTTGAAAGCTGCTATCATGTACTCGGCTCCTGCAGGTCCTAGCTTTTCAGCATCTGCCTGGAGATTCCGTCATGGCATAACGCCTTGGATGCTTTGGCGTTCTTGACAGCTGCCTGCGTCTCTTCAGGGGTAATGCCCGTTGGTGTGTCTCGGGGCGGAGTTTGTGTGCTTTACGTAGCGCACTACAGTGGGCTTTGTCTCTCTCCGGGTGCGCGGATTCGACGTTGTGGTATTGCCGAATGTAATGGCAACGTTATCCTTACGTTTCGTCGGATGGGAGAAAGATTTTACTGTCGTCCACAGTTTGCTAGCTCCGCTGAAGAGATAGCAGGGTTTGAGGTGCTCATTTCACGTTTCTGCTTATGTTCGTTTACCAGTTTACTAATGTCCTTGTTGATACCCCTAATGCGGGGTTCACCAGGATTAGACGGCCGATTTCGATCACGCACTTCTACGGGTCCCGCCGGATTTTAGTGATCCTACCGGCTGCATTGAAGCGGTCGGCTGCTGCGTTGATAACCCTGCGTATATTGCGCTACGCGCGCACATGTTGGCGGTGGAAGGGCGTTGAATTTGTGGTCTCTGTGTTCCGTACCCCCGTTCCAGTTAGCCTTCTTGGTGTACACGTACGTAAGGTTTTCGGATGTGACAAAACTCTTGGATGGTCGACTACAATAAGCAGGGGGTCTGATGCGAGCGTGAGCACTGATTGCCATCCAATGCAATTATTTATCAGTGTGGGCATTGGTTTAGACCCTAATTTTTCTGAGATTATGGCGGTCAATGCTATAGTAGTGCTGTGCATATATTCTCGACTCTATACTGGCATTTAGCTAGTTTTAGAAGTAAGGTCATGCTGGGGAGGCTCAGACTCTTATGTATTTTATTTAACTGTATTTTTTTATAATAATCCCCAGGCTACGGCAATATATCTCCCAAATCGGATTGGGGCAAATTAGTCACCATTTTATATGCGATCATCGGCATGCCTCTCTTCCTACTCTACCTCTCCAATATTGGCGATGTCCTGGCCAAGTCCTTCAAATGGATTTACTCCAAAGTCTGCTTGTGTCGCATTTGTCCAGGCGTTGCACGCCGTCGAATCATACGCGAACGCCGTAAAATACGACAATTGGCCATGACAAAAGCGGTAAAGCTCAGATCTATGCGCATTTCTCTCCTAAGCACTTATAATTCTACTCCCACTCACTGACAGCTGCAAGACATGGAAAGCCGATATGCGAACACCAGCAGCAGTACCAGCAAGAGCAGTGATAGCCGAAGCAGTAACAGCACTTCAGGCAGTTACTACAGTGAAGAAACTGAGAGTTCAACACAGAGCATGAGTGCGCTGGAATTATTTGAAGCGGGGAATGATTCCGATATTGAGAGAGAAATACGTAGGAATACTGACGAAATTACGGTACCCTTAACGGTTTGCGTGATCATAATGATAAGGTTAGTTACAGAATAAGAAAGTTGTATGTAAATGAAATTTGAAATATGCTAAAGTGTAATGTATGTTTTCAATTATTAGTTACATATTAGCTGGTGCTATCCTTTTCAGTCGTTGGGAAGCTTGGGATTACCTGGACGGCAGCTACTTTTGCTTTATCTCGCTTAGTAGCATCGGTTTCGGGGATTTGGTACCAGGCGAACGTGTGGTATTGTGTTTCTTGCTGTAAATTTATTTGAGATCTCAATCAATAACAAATTTCACTTGCAGATTACTGCCGATAAAGACAAAGTTGAGGTTAGTTTTATACTTTGTGCTGTTTACCTATTGCTTGGTATGGCCCTCATTGCAATGTGTTTCAATTTGATGCAGGTATATGCGTTTAATACAAATAATAATATACAAATTTATTTACTCACACACTTAATTGCAGGAACAAGTTATACACAATGTTCGAGCCATCAAACGAGCTTTCAAATCCTGTTTTCGTTGTAAGAGATGACACTATCATAAGACGCTTTTTAATGCATAGTAAATTGTTAATTTTATTTAATATTAAGTTAGGTATACATAGAAATACGAGAGTCGAAAAAAGTATAATTGTAATAACTACGAATTTAAAATTAATAATAAAAGTAATATGTATAGCGATCCGAAAGTGTTCCTCATGATGTACAGTAAACGAAACATTTTGAAATAAATACACACTTATGCAAATAATTTTCGTATAAGTTATCAATAAACTGTATATAAAGTATGACTTTGTGTTTAGTAGTGTTTTGTGATATCTTTAACTTAATAATTTCAATGGACTATATAATAAATGTCTATGTTATACCCAAGAAATTCAAAGGTTAAATGATTTATGAAAAATCCTTATAAACAACTGTAATTTTTAAGTTACTTTATTACATTTAGTATTCATAATGTCATTAAATATTTACAATAGTGTCGCCATTATCATGGTTTGCAGTGAAAATATTTAATGGCTAGATTTATTAAAAACTTTTGTATCCCAATCGCAGATAAATGTAGTCAAAATATTTTCACTAAACCAAACCATCTGACTGAATAGAATTTGAGTTGAGTATAGAAGTAAAATTAATTTCAATAGAATAACAAAATATTGCTATTTGAATTTAGAAGTATTGCCCAAAAATTATTCCCACAACTATTATGAGTTAATTTTCATACCGACATTATTGTGTTTGAGTGGGCCAACTCGGACGTTGGAAATGTGTGACGCCTTCGCCAGTTTGATTTACAGTCGAGCGCGCTTTCTCCATCATTGCGGCCGCGGTAATATTGCTGGGCGGTAAATTATGATTTACACTATATTTGCCCTTAGGTTGGCGTTCCGGTTGCTCCAATGGTGGTATTTTACATAAAATTTTATATTTAGGACATGTTGACGAGGCTTTGTTCACACATGCTTTTTTAAACTGTTGTGCTAACTTTGTGGCCACATGTGATCTACTAGGGGCTGTGAGCATGTCGAAAGCAGTTTTCTTACTCATATCATATTGCTTTTGATCTTTTGGTAATGTTGCTCCTGAACGTCTTTTATTGGGGCTTTTCGGACGTAGATGTGCTGTAGTGCGCTGCTGTTGCTTGAATGTATTCGGCGATATAGCTGTCTTAGGATCAACGACCAGCTTCCGCCTCCTTACTTCTAATTTGTACGTACCTTTAGTCCCTTGTGTCATAGAAGGCAGTCTTTTTAAATTCCGTGCATTCGTTACACTGGAATTGGAAGGGAGACGCGGCACAGTAAATCCATTTCGAGAGTATGTGCGCACTGGTGTCAAACACTTACGCCATTTCGTAACTGTGCCCGGTGCTGATGTATTTGCTTTCTTTGCTTTACTTTTCGCGTTATTTGGCGATTCTAAAAACGAAAATCCTATACTTCGTGATAAATTTGGCACATCAGGAATATTGAAACCCGATCCAGAGTCTCCCGAAGCTGCATTTAAATGCTTACTGGTTTCCGATTGCTGGCATTGTATTCGTACAGTTCTTGTGCCTGGTGTCTGTAGACTACTTTTTCTATTTAACTGAATAGGCGATGGTCTATTTACTCGCAGTATATCAATTGTGTGGTTAGCTTGTGCCAACGTGCGCGGAAGTGGCGTGTAGTTTTCCTTATTATGGTGTTTCAATTGTTGCCCTATAGTATATGACGGCGATGGCGATGGCGATAGGGCTGGTGCCGGCGTGCTAAATGCTAATGGTGAGCGTGTACGATTGACTTCATGTCCGGCCTGCAGACGCCAAGTTGTGGAAGGGGAAATGCTGTCTCTATTATAATTCACTGGTGCCAAAATTCGTTCAGTAGTTTGTGTGGAACGACGTTTTTTTCCAGCCGAACTCTTTGACGCCAGCACGTTTAACCTGTTACAGCATCTCCTATTCGGTATTATGTTCTGAAAACTAATGCGTCCGTTGTGGATACTAGGTACAAAGATTTCCGATTCAAATCCATTGGCCTCGACGAGAACAACATTATTGCCAGACAACAGCTTTATTCGATACTCCACCTTGGATATCTCTTTCTTCAAAGACATAACGAACTTGAAATTTTGACTAACAGAGCTGAAAATTTTTGTTCCAGTAAATTTTTTAGATTTGTGTATAAATGAAATCTACCGTGCTTATAAAATTCAGTGAGAAATGCAAATACAGAAACAAATAAAAAACTCTAACGTAAATAAATTTGACAGCTGCATCCCGAAATGAGATAAACAAAAAAAGTAATAAAATCGGTGCTGCCAGTCTGCACCACAACACAAGTGACAAGTTTACCTTGCCACCTAGCACAAAGAACGAAAAGGCTCTGGCACATACAGCATTCGTGCTCTTTAGCGTTTTTTCTTCGACACCTAATGCAGCGTTTTTGCTGCATTTAAAATGCAACATTTAGCACTTTCGAACATATGTTTTCGAAGAGCGTTCATGCTATCGCATTTAGCAAATGTACATTTACGCGAGTTCGAAATCGTATGCTTTTGACAAACAGCCGTGTTCCAGTCGCTTATTCAGATCCGTATCTATTATGATAAATTCTCACGGAAAAGATAATGTCCAAAAATCCCTACTGAAAAGGAAAAAAATAAATTCTAAACCGAAAATTCAATACAAAAGCTTGAATTATTTTAACCATAACCAAACATTTGTTTGTGTATATATTCATTTGTCGGTGCTGTCAATTATAATTTTCACACTTAATTAGGAAACAAAACAAACAGAGTTGATCACAAATTAATCCAGATTTCTATCAGCATCATATCGATGTTTAATTTGCGTAACTTTTCTTTATCCAAATAATGTAAAATAATAAATGAAATCTCGATCGGCGATCACTGAAACGCAGCTAGCGACTGTATACTCGAAAAAGCAATGTTGCCACTTCTTCTCATTAAACCATGTTCGAATCGTGGAAATTTTGGAAGATCACAGGGTTGCTTTTAGCATTTAGATTCTAAATGCAAAAATGGAGTTGCATTTAGTTGCATTTAGGTGACGAATTTTGTATGGATAAATGTACATTTAGAGTAGCATTTAGAGCTAAATGCGCTAAATGTGCTTTTACGCGTAAGCAAAAACAGCCCATAAGATAAATACATATGTACGTTTATATGAAGCTGTTCACATAGGCAATGTTGACGCCAAAGAAACACAAACGGTGGTTTAAGGCCCGTTTACATACAACTTTGGCGTTGCGTTGACGCTGGCATCGCTTTGACTAAATGAAACAACGCCAAAGCGACGCGAAAGATGGCATTGCCTCGTTCCCACGACAGTCGGGCCTACGTAACCGGAACGACCAAGATTTATATCTGGCCAAGGACTGTCACTCCAGCAACACTCCCCAAAAAGTCTTTGGGGAATTTGTATGCTGCTACAACAACAACATGGCATTGCCTCATGCGTCTGGCAATCCAAGGATAGGATAGGTAGCTTTTAAAAATTTCCCTCGTTTAGAAGTCTTGTATTTGTACACAATGGTGTAAGGTTCTTGGAATTTTCGAGCGGAAGAAAATTTGGATTTGGATCGGTGCAAGCGTTGCTTTTTTCATTAAAATTTTTTCTTTAGTTTTTTTTTAAGTCATTTAATTAGTATTTTAATTAGTTTTTTTTTGTATTTTGGAGCTGTAAAAAGGAAGGCAAGTCAGAAGTTGGAAGGAGCTGTTTTGCTGTTTGCAGGTGAGTCCTGGCAGTGTGTGATTTTTGGGTTTTTTTTTTTTTTTTATTTAAATGGACGCTGCGGCGTCGATAGAGGAGGATATGATGCAGGTTTCTGCGCATAATTCTTCAGCAAGGAAGTATATGAGAGCTAGGAAAAAAAACAGGAATGAGAAAGGCTCTGGTAAAAGGCGCAAGGATGCAAAGACGGATGTTAGTAATGGGGATAGTTTTTCTGAGGAGGATTTAAGTGAGGTTAGGGATATACCAAAGATTGCTTTGCAGGGCATGCTTGTACCCAGGGGTACTTTTAATAAGACGTTGTTATTACAAAATGGTGTTTTTGGGGATGTTCAGGTTGGAAAAAGTGGTGTTGCAGGGGTTACTTGTGATAAAGAGGTTATGTTCAGTGGTGTGTATAATGCTCAAAATGGCGGTGTTGTACAGGGTGTTGGAGAGTGTAATGCTGTGCTCAATGAGAGAGATGGTGATATGGTTGTGCCTTGTGTTTCATCTGATGAGGGTTTGATTCAAAATGGTGGTCAAAGGCCTGCTCAGGTTGGAAATGTTTGTGTTGATAGTGTTTCTGGAGATAATGGGGTTATGTTGAATGATATACATAATTTTCAAAATGGTATTGTGCTTAATGGAAGTGAGAAGAATATTGTGTCCTTGAATTTTAACAGTGGTGGTCAGTTAAATGCGGATTCTTTTGAAGAAGATGTTTGTGCTCAGAATACTAACAGTGGTAGTAACATTAGTAAGAATGGCTTTAGTGTTGAGGGTGTGTATAAGAGTGCTGTATATTCTGATTTTTATAGGGGTGAATTTTGTGTTCTTGCTGATACTTCGAAGAGTCCTTTCTTTGATAATAAATTTATGAAAAATGGTTTGTTTTTGTTTGCAAAAATACGCAAGTATAATATTAAAGGTATGAAGAATATAAAGGCGATTGGTAAGTCTTTGTATAAGATTTTTTTCGAAAGTGCTTGTACTGCTAATGATTGTGTTGTTAATGAGGTTTTGAAGGAAAAAGGTATACGAGTATTTATACCACGTAGTTTTGTTGAAACTTATGGTGTTTTGAGACAGGTTCCACTTGATTTTTCGGATAGGGAGATTTTTGAGAATTTGAAGTCTGTTGTACCTTTTTCGTCTGTTAAAAGAATTAATAGGCGAGATATAGATAATCGTGATAAGTATATTCCGACTCTGGCTGTCAAGATTGGTTTTGTAGGTAGTGTTCTACCTGAGTCTGTTAAAGTATTCTGTGTAGATTTTAAAGTGAGTCATTATTTTCCTAGACCAAAACAATGTTTCAATTGTGGATGTTTGGGTC